AAAGGATTCATGTAGCCGGCTTGTTGTTGTTAGCAGATAATTCAACTATTTGTTTACTCTTATTTTAAAATTTTTCAGTCCCTTGCATGTTCAAGGAGATGTGAAGTAGTGTCAATTTTAGATTTATGACGTTTGGTGCGACAACATACTCATTGACCAAAATTGAGTTGGATGCTCTTTGATTGTAAATGTTACCTCAATAAAATATTCCCATATTATATACTTTATTTTCATCACTTCTTGGCAGTAGTGGAGACTTTTTGATTGCTGCTGTCAACAATAACTATCTCAGGCTGTGTGTGTGGTAATCCAATGTTCAAATTTTTGTTACTATTTTCAACTTCCATTAGCAACTCTTTGCAAGATGATTCTGTTCGTGAAAAACCCAATCTAGGCATGGTTGCACACTAATTTAAAACAGAAGTAAACAATGAGTAACACTTTAAAACCTATCAATTTGTTACTATAAATTTAATACTTTTTTTAACCAAAGTATGAATACAAAATATGAAAAGACGTGCAACAATGAATAAGTCACTAATGAAGTGTTGATTATATAAAGCCAACAAATCTGAGAGAATTAAGCAAGGACTGTAAATCTTATTAATTTTTTTTTCTTTTCGTAATTTTTTTGTGAAGCTCAGAATATGAATACATAATGATTGATAGCAAAGACAACAAATTCTGCCTCCTAATCCTCAAAAAAACATATTGTGAGTGCATGGTAACAAGTTTCCCTAAAAGCCATATTTCATATAAGCAATACAAATATATTCGAGTAGGCAGAATTAACATATTTCTAACCAAACCTTATTCTGAAACATAGTGTGAAAGCATGATAAAATTTATAATTGATAGTGATCAGCAAAACTAGGGAGGATAACTGCTCGATCGCAATGGCCATAACTTCCGTATTCTTTCTCAAATTATTCAAGCTGTCTCAAGTTATAATTAATAACCCACAATATTTTGATAAAATACTCAACTAGCTAAAGGATTTTGCATTTTTTCCATCCAATTAAAGGCCTAGCTCTCTTATTAGTGATTACACCACATAATAAAGTACAAAGATCTTGCAAAATTATACAAAAATACCATAAACTATCTATTGCATAGGAGTAGGGCTTCCAAGTCAAAGTACTAAATTGAACTTGATTACACAATTATTAAGTGCATAGATAGAATGGTGCTGACTAAGACTACTGAAATATGACTTGTAAATCATATGTAAACTGCAACAAATTCACATAAATATGACTCAAAATCTTTTCAACATAAAAAAATGATTTAACAATTAATAAGTGCATAGATGGTGTGTTGAAAGTTGAAACACAATCCCAAATACCACTTATAAATTATTACGCATAAATAGAGCTTACAGTCCTTGGTCTTTGCATGATAAGATATTTTTAATGCCTTCCCTACATAAACATCTCATATATAAGCAATAAACCATGACACTACGGTGACACTACGCCATAGATCCTAAACACATGCAACAATTTCATAGAAAATAAAAGATTTCAACTATGTTGTACAAAAATTTAAACATGACATCAAATTTTCAAAATATATATGGAGCGCTTAAGATATAGTCTAAGAAATGAAAGCAAACTCTAATACTGTTAGTCTGTCATAGATTCATCGCTATTTTTTAAAAAAATATTGTGATGAGTAAAATACAAGATTCACACTTAGTCAGATAAATTATTTTGCATCTTATACTTAATTTAGAAGAATAGGAATACCAACTTATGTGAGAAATTTAGAATAAAACAATCACATTCGAATCCCAAACGAGGATGATATATACTAGAGATAATAAAAATGAGCGATGACGGAGGGGCTACCCAAGCAACTGTCAGAAGAATGAGAAAAGAAGGATTTACAGTACAAAAAGCTCCAAAAGTGTACCTCTTTAGAGAAGGGTATTTTCACTTTTGAGCTGTGTCGGTGACGATGAATAAATGAAAACCATAGCGTAGTGGAACAAAGCATAAAACCTCTTGCTCGAGGGGTTGAGTGGAAACTGAATGAGGGAAATCGAAAGGATGGTTGCTGCGGCGGGTTAGGTTTTTTGGAATAATATAATATATAGTAAATAAGGTTTTAAGTTAATTATTTTGGCATAATTTAAGATATGGATAATTTTATATTATGTATGATCATAAATTTTTCTTTTCATTTAGCTAAGTTTTTTTCCAATTTAATGAATTTAATTGAGTTCAAATTAAACTAAGTAATTAACTTATTTAAATTAACACTCATTGACCCACATTAATATATATTAATATTTATTTAAATATAATTGATTATTATTACTTTATTAATTTTAACTAAAATGAGCCAAACACGATTAAACAAATATTTGTTCTTGTTCGACTCATTTATAAGTTTAGTTAAAAAAATTGTTCGTGTTTGCTTCTTTTACTTAATAAATGGATTAAATACTTGCTCTTTAGCATGTTGAACACGAGCAATTCACAAACGACTACTAGAGAGGGTGTGAGCTATCGAGAGATGCAAAGTTTTAAGAACAAGACTTGATTGACCAGTTCTAATGGTTCAATCTTGAACCATTCATTTGACTGGTTTGGTTCAAGCTCAAGACAATTTCTACGCAATATTAAGATTGAATTGATTACAATTGGGGTTGAACCGACAAATTGGTGAATTGATTCAAATTTTTAAAACCCATCCAATTTTAATATTGTCCAATAATAGCCTTTTGATTTTAATGAGATGGTTAGAAATAAGATATTTTAATAAATAAAGGAGAAAATGTAATGTTTGAAAATTTGATTTATAATTTTATTCGAAATATTAAAATGTAATGTGTATTAAATTAAAATATTATTTATTGAATCGATATTTAAGTAGTAAGGATGATTTAAATATGTTTTTTTATTGATTTAGAAAAAGCTTATGATAAAATTCCAAGAGTTCTTTAGAGGGTTCTAGAAAAGAAAGGTGTTGATATGACTTATATTTAAGTCATTAAAAAATTTTGTATTAGAGCTGGTACTTGTGTTCAAATAGTAAGAAGATTGAACAATTATATTCCTATTTTAATTTGATTACATCGGAGATCAACTTTAAGCCCATGTTATTTTGCTTTAGTCATGGATGCTCTTAGCGAACATCTACAGGAGCATGTACCTTGGTGTATGCTTTTTGCTGATGATATCCTTCTTGTGGATAAGACTTGAGAAAAAATTGAATTATGGGGGTCGACATTTGAATCTAAAGGCCATTGTTCGAGTACATCTAAAACTGAATACATGGAATATAATTTAAGTAATAGTAGACCTAGTGCCAGAGTTGCAATTATGAGTGATCGAATATTTAAAAGCCTATGATCATTTTAGATTTCTCGGGTTTTTTGTTTAAAGTGATTACGATATAGATGGGGATGTTATTACTAGAATTGATGTTGGTTGGTTGAAGTGGAGGAATGCATCAAACCTATTGTGTGATAGAAAAGTTTTGCTTAAACTTAAAGGAAAATTTTATAAGATTGTGGCGAGACCTGCAATGCTTTATCGCGCAGAATGTTGGCGTTTAAAAGAGAACCATAAACTAAGTTAAGTGTTGCCGAGATTGGAATGCTTAAGTGGATGAGTGGCTTGAAACTTAGAGACAAAATGCGAAACGAATGTATTTGTGAAATGGTTGGTGTAGCTCCAGTGGCAGACAATATTAGAGAAGGATGGTTTGGTCACATTAAACGTCGACCATCTGATAATCCGGTTAGGAGAGTAGATTTTTTAGATTCGATTTATGTTAAGAAAGGTGGAGGTAGACTTAAAAAGGCTTGGACATATTATATAAAAAATGATCTTAATTTATTAGAATTAAATGAAAATATGACACTCAATAAGACATAATGGAGAAAAGGGATTCATGTAGCCGGCCCGACTTAAAAGCTACAATTCCTCAATATCTGAAGCAAACAGATATGGGCTTAAAGCTTGGTTAGATTTCCTTGACCAAGTAGCTGAAGAAGCCCTTAGCTTGGTTAGATTGTGTTATCTCAACAAGCAACCAAGTGGATGAAATTAAGCCCATACAAAAATAAGCCTAGCTCCTGCTTCTCGTAGGTGCTTTGTTGGCTTATATTTACCTTATAAATGCATGGCATGCACGCTAGGCATCCATGTTAATAAGATACAATCATGGATTGTGCACCTAACTAACACCCAATTTGGCCAGCATGCCTAATGTCTTTTCTTGGGCCACTTAGATTAGGTCGAGTCAAAGAGGTTGCAGTGACATTTTGGCTTGTAATGATCATGAATTAACTTTTAACTATTTGGTATGGGCATCATAGTGGGAGATATGAGTTTTATCATCCAAGACAGACGGTTCCTAAGGGATCAGCAGTGCATTTTTGTCAATGATGTTATTTTTGTTCTAGACTCGGTTCATTTTACTTGCAGAGGATTTGCCATACCAGACCAAGTGACATAGATGTATGAAGCTTGGTAAATTGTAGCTCAGAGGTGCAATGCATGGCTGTTTGTTTTTGAAGGTTTTAAGCACGAGTGACAGCATCTTAGACGTATGCCATCCCCAATAATGGGACTGAGGCATAGCTCATCTAGCTCATTTAATTTAGGCGAAATTTGATTTACCATGCAATCGAGGGCACTTTGGCTTATACTATTTAATTTGCATATGTGGCGGCATGATGCCTTCATTTTAGCTTCAGATCCCTTTAGTTCATTTTATCCTTCGGGTGTAACAGCGTTTTAACATGCTTTGATGGCCTATTATTGGATCAATTAATAATTTACCCTGGAGTACATTGTTGAATCAACTCACTTTTTGGGGCATTGTATTAACACCTGATGATATTGTTATTACTGTCTGTCCAGGGGAGAAAATATCATGCATCGGATGCATGCAGGAAACGTGGGTTTTAAAATCTTATTTAATCAATTTTATTGAATGGATTTCTTCCCTACTTGATTATTTGTCATAACCACCGCTAATTGCAGGTGCTGCACAGGTGGGCCTTTCGGAACAGTTTTTTCCTGAGAAGCCAATTATGGTCCCCTTTAACAGGGTTTTTCTGAACAGCGCTTCATTTTCAAAAGCTTTATTGTCACCACATGCTAGAAGGTTCTCATCGGTTACTAGAATAAGATCAGTACAATCATATGTGAAGGCCTCCGAGGGCTCATCATCTGTGACATCTAATGGTGGTTACTTATAATATATATTTTTCCTATACTACTTGACTTGAAAACAAGACTGGAATATGCTTACTATATTTCCCAGTTATTTAAACTGAATTAAGTATAATATTACTGAATTGTAAGGTTTATGCAACCCTCTTGTTAACTGGTTTAGTTGTGATTTTCTTGAAATCAGGAATACTTTAGGAATTGCTTCGATTGATACAATTGTGGAAGACAATGGAAAGTTCTAGAGCAGAAACATATTTTTAAGTTATACGTTGCAATAAAATAGCATCCTAGTGTTATTTGGTGATTTTTTTTTTCTGGCCATACTTTTTCATACTGCTATTAAAATTGTTTGATATTGCACCAATAAATAATCTTAACCTTTTGTTTAAAGAAGTGAATCACATTTATTTACTCTAAATTGTAATTTCAATACATGCTTTTATAATAGTTGACTGACGGACTGTTTGATTTTTGTTTGAGGTATAAATAGAGTTATGTAAGTTTAAATAATATCCTTTTTTTTGTTTAGTTTTGGATTGAAATATTTTTCTCAGGTACATGGCAGTTTAAGAACCTTTATTGTTAAAATAAATTTATTATTTTAATGATATAAAATAAATTACTACATGACTTGAAAATCTTATGCATATTTCTAAAGACTTATCATGAAATTCAAGCAATTTGCGCTTAAGGCATGCTTATGTTTACAAGTTGACACAAAAGACTGGTCTGAAACTTAATAGTTTATATTTTTAAATGTCTAACACACCTGAAGAAAGAGCATGAAACACGATCAGTAAATGCTATAAATCAAATGCTGTTTTAGCGTGGTTGCTAAATTTCTTTAGAAGCAATATTAAAACTTACCATATTCTACATGCTTCATTATAGAATAATATTAGTCGTTTGTGAATGACAAAATGTTTTTTTCTTAGTTGTAGCACATTTTTTTTAGATCCATCCTTTCAATTCCTCTTGCTTCTTGTAATAATTTGTATATAAGTGTGGAATTTTGGAAGCAGATGAACTTCTATATTTGTTTTTTAGTAAGTTTGTAGGACGTGGAATGGTAGCTGAAAGCTTGTTTAGAAGCATTCTACTTTCCATGTTATGAAATTAGAGAATATGATGAAATTTGCCAGATAAATAGTCCCTTATTGGGAATATGTCATCATAAATGCTAAATTATATTATTTGGAATCAAGATATTATTTTATCACTCGTAAAATTTGTCAGCATGTAAGTTTGCCCTTTTGATTCATTTCTTGCAGTTTATCACATTCTGTGACATAATTTTTCCTTCAGCCTGACAACGAAAATTTTAACATACTTTTGGGTTCTTTAGGGAAAAATTCACAAGGGACAGCGAAGAACATTCATAATAAGGAGTCTACATTTCCTTTTGGGTTGGAGGTCTAATTTCATGTCCTTTATTTTCTTTCAAGTTTGTTAGATATACTTTTATTAGTCATGCAATTATGTTGAAACTTGTTTTCATTTTCAAAAGTTGAAAATTTTCTAGGAAAATCCTATATGTAGAAATAATTGGTTATGACTTTGCCTAGGGACTTGGAAATACCAAAGAGAAAACTGACAATCATTGAAAAAAGATTAAAAAAAGATTCAATTTTCATATACTAGCATTAACTATTGAAAATAACTATCCAACAAACCAAAGAAAGCCAATATCAAATAAAAAGTCAAGCTAGTTTAATATTAAGACAATTGTCATTATGAATTATGAATACTCTTCTCTTATGCTTCTCTCGTTCGGTTGCTTCTTTGAGATATGATTTCTTTAACTTCACGCGTTTTCTATTAAAAGGTTTTATCTTTAAAAATGTTCGTTTAAATTATTATGAGTTATCGACAATTTAGTGGATATTCATATCTCTAAAATTACAATAACATAAAATTATTAAGAAGATAATGTGCATACTTGAATTAGTATAAAATCATTTCACAATTAATTTATTCAAAGAATATTGATTATGTAAAATATATCAAATAATTATATTATATAATGACAATATTATATCCTATTTGTTGTTTGTTTACTTACTCCTTTCATCACATGGGCCTCATTTAAAGTGCACCTGGTATCAAAGTTAACTCAAAACACAATAGAGATTCAATTATTATTGCCGAAATTCAAATAAAGGTTACAAACAAGACTCAACATTTGGGAAACAACAACATAAACACACAAGCCACTCTAGGGTGAGGACGACATGGTAGGCTGAGAGCCGGGGTAGCAGAAACAGGGGTTGGAAGGTGGTAGGAAGGTTGATGGCTGCAAGCAAGAAGCAGGCTTGAGTTTGGACAAGAAGCTCGAAAATTAGGGAAGGGAGGTTGTGGCTGCGGGTTGGAAGGCAGAGGAATTTATGGCCTAGCTGTGAGTGGCAACGAGTGGGAGAAGGGGAACCGCAGGTTGCTGATCTGTAGGGGAATTGGGCTGCGGCAGATGCAACAATCATTTTATCTTGTTGTCGAGTTAAAGAGATCATATCATTAATTGGGGTAGCAGAAACAGGGGTTGGAAGGTGGTAGGAAGGGTGAGAATATTTTATGTTAAAGGAGTTGCTGGATATCTTGACTGACAGTTTATCTCCTTGATGGCTATAACTGAGAGATATTCAGCATACCATAGACCTCATTTCAAGATTTTTTTTGGCAAACAAACTCGTCTATGGGATGCAACCGATTGAGTATGAGAAATTACAAAAACGTGTTAGACACTTGAGGGTTAGAGCCTTGGTTCATAAGTGTACTAGCCCAAATGTAGCTCCAAAGAAAGATGTCTATTTACTCTATCATGATAGACTTTGTAAGGACGTACATGTTTGAAAGTTACTTTAGGTGGACGTGCGCATCCCCAACCTGCGCACCCCCAACCACAACAACACAATAATTTTATTATGGTGGTAGATCGATTTTAGAAGTTCACAGAGAAGAAGAAGAAGTCTTAGCCCGGGAGAATGATATGGAGCATTGATTGCAGAAACCTTGATTTGATTACAAGAAATCTACGATATCACAGAATGCGGGTAAATCAAGTGACCTTTGCGGGTGTCGAGCTATATTGCCCCCCAATTTCAAATTTTATCTTGTTTTCTTCTTGTTTATGCTTTTATTTCTATTCCTTTCTTATAATTAGGGTTCTTTCTAGCAAGAGATTATTTATATATTTTATTCTATTGTTTTGAGGATCTTTTGCTTTTTAAATGTTATTTGAAGATGTTTTCTCTTGCTTTTCTCTGAGTGCTATATTATTGAATTTCTTTTAAGCGGTGTGTCTGTAACCTCATAGGATAAAGACGGTGATCTCTTCTGGAAGTTCAAAGGCCTCCTTCATCGTCCAGCTTGCAGTAAACTGCTGTTGGCAGTAGGAGAACTGCTGTTTTCTGTTCTGATTCGCTGTGCCTCTGTCTTCTAAGCCCAATTTTAGCCACCATCCATCCTCCCTCTCCCTTTTCTCATTCGAAAACTTCCTGAAAACTTCCCTAATACCATTTGGCGCTCTAAGATGCTTTCTAGTAGCCCTATAACGACATTAATATCCATTCATGTCATTCTGATTCATGGGGATGCATTTTGCATTAAAATAACAAAAAAAAAGGTTACGAAATAAACAGTTCAATATGCCCAAAAAAGAAGCGAAAAAATCTATTCCCCTCGTGCATTTACAAAAGGGGCGTTAACCGCTTGTAAAATAGTAAAATAAAAACATGATCTTGCTCATGAAGATGACGGGAGACAAAATCACTATCAAGGGCTTTCTTTGCACAAGTATGGGTAGCTATGCTGTTTTGTTTATTGGTATGATGGAATAAAACTTGCTTGAATTTAAGCAAGAAACCAATACTTGGATTGTCGGAAATGTTATGTTGCCATGTCTTCTTGTTGAAGGTGCCTCTAAGGAAATTTATGACGTTTTAGTTTTCTCCCTCGATGATGAGACCCTTACCTTCAGTCATCCATTCTTCAAGAAGGTTCCCAAGAAACAAAACCGCCTCCAACTCCACATGTGTTGTCCCAGTGGTGAAACTTACGGCCTGCATCCATCGTAAGTTGTCCCAACTCATCACGAAGAATGATCCCAATTGCCGCAAGGTTGGAAGGAAAAAGGTTCCAGTCAACGTTCACTTTGATCCAACCTGAAGTGGGAGGGTGCCAAGAGAACTTTGATCAAACCCGGAGGGTGAGGGTGCCAAGAGGAGTGTGGCAACAGCCGCAAAGACTGGTTATCACCCCATTGCTCTGAAGTTTGAAGAGAGTGGTGTCAGAGAGGATCTCCAACAAATTAGAAGCAATTATTGTAGGAGTGTCGTGGCTTTTCACATGCTTTTTGGCATTTATGGGGCGCCAACAGTTGTAGACAGCATTACAAAACAGCCGCATCGATGTGATGTTGCAAGTTTTGATGCCATAGAAATGCGAAATAATCTCATCAAAGCTAGGTAGCTGGGAATTGAGATGCCCCACATTTTGAGTTTATCCAACACCGCCATAAAAAAAAGCAGTTAGTTGAAATATGGTCCCTGTTTTGCACTCCTTCACATCCCCAGGGGCATTTTTGAGATTCGGTTAGACCACGGGGAGCCAACCAATCATTAGTTGGAATCACATCCTTGCTCATCTGCCACCGAAAGACTTTCTCCCTGGACCGTAACTTGAGCCTAGCAAGCCACCAGTGCGTGGCCTTGAGGTGCTCATACTCAGCTTGGGATGCGATGGCTGTAATGGTTTTACCAATAAGCTTTTTGCACATCTTTGTACATCCTTGGGTTGGTTCCTCTCGATTGGTTTGCGAATGATAATATTGCATAATTCCTTCCCAAAAAACTCCAGAAGCTTTTCCCCATCCCATTCATGATTGTTGATGAGTGCAGAAACAATGAGATGCTCATCCAAGGAAGCATTCATGAAAGTTGGCCAGAGATTTAGCTGGCGGTCCCAGTTCCATTTCTGGGCTAATACATTGATGTCCTCACCATTTGCAACTTTTAATCTTATAATTTTATTCAGGCCTTTTGCCCCCTCTCGTAATATATTCCTGGAGATCAAATCACTCTTACTCTGATAGCCCCACAAATCCATTCCATAATTGTTGGCCAATAGCTTATGCATTAAATTTTTTGTTTGCGTGAGAAGTTCCAGGCGAGCCTTGCTCTGAAGAGGCTGCCTCTATTCTGCAGTTGCATGGGAACGGAGCCCTACGTACAATTTGTGGTTTACATAATTCATGCCAATGGGAGGTAGGGCATGCCACGTCTGCCATTACCCTTACTCCAAAGAAAGCTACGACCATTCTTTTCTAGCTCAGCGAGAACACTTTTGACACTTGGTATGAGTGAGGAGATACACAGGGAGGACCAGGTAAGCCGGTTTAAGCAGCTTAATATGCACAGCCAAAGAATTAAGATAATTGATATTGACAATAATTTTAAAAGTGAACTTATGCTCCTGCAAGAGGGTGATATTGCCAGCTCCAATGCTTAATAAATCCTTTATGTTGGAAAATATTATATGCGATAAAATAAGAGTAGAAAACATGTTTGGAAAAAAAAATTGAAAGTGTGTAGTAAGTTCATGGGTCTTGCTTATCGAAGATGAATACTTTTGAAAAATTGTTTCAACAGTATTGCCTTTATTTATTCGAACTAGTAGCATTTGTGAATAAATATTTTATATGAAGTGCTAAGGAATACGTAGTATCTTACAATGAAAGATGACTGATGACAATTAAATTAGGGGGTTTTAAAAATAAACTATCCATAATAGAAATCGTCTTTGGTTGCTCAACTAGGTGAGTCGAATCTAGCAATGGAGGTTTAGGAATAATATGTAAGCCAAGTTGAATATCATGTGGATGGTGGCTCATATCTGGACTTCCTAATGTGTTTGTCAAATAAGATAAGCTGGGAATCTGTGCTCACATCAAATATGTCTATCTTAAGGGGAAATGATGTATCAGACATCTTAAATTGTAAGGTTTCAAAGAAAACGAGATGTAGCTTGGGATGTTTTGACTTGGCTATTCGACTGTTCTTGTGGTCAGAATGTCAGACTGCTTGATAGATTTGTTTGATCGATTTGTTTGATCAATTTGTTCTTAGAAGTTGAAGTCTTCTAGTTAGGTATAGAGTCATTGTTTTAAATTTCCTTAAAGGTTTATCTTTAAGATAGAACCTCCATAATTTCATTGCCACTTGCAAACTTGAGGAATATCTGAGCATGCGTTTACAAATGCTGTTTGTAGTACAGGAGGCACTTTGTTTGGCATCATTGGGGTAAAACACTGAATATTTTTAATCTAAATTCTGGCATTAATGCTGTTACTTCAAGCTTACTTTTGTCTTTTCTAGCGCAATAATTTCTTTTATAAGCACCATACATTCTTTTTTATTTGCAGGCACTAGTGTTGGACGTATGTGATGAAACAAGTATTGCTGAGTTAAAAGTGAAGGTAAGTTTCACGTCTGTTGATAATCAAAATTTTGTTTTGCCAATTTGCATGTAATTTTTTTTAGTACTTGTGACTTTATGAAATGGGCTAGTTTTGTTTGTTCTTTCTAAACCGAAGCACAATTGAATTTAATTGGTTCAAAAAATTGACAGAATAAAAAAGAAATAAATGAAACAATTGATCTATAGAGCCAGCTAGTGGACTAATTGACTCATTCGATGCATGTTGGTCAGTTTTTGGTTCCAATCTGCTGACTGTTTTAGTTATAATTTATTTTTATGCTAATAAATTGCTATCTAATCATGTATATCATTCTTAATCTGCCTTTTACCACAGTGTGCAATATATGAACTTAATCTTGTTGTCACTTTACCTGATTTATAGTGTTTTAAATTCCCAGCTTTAAGCTTGCCCTATCACATGCAGCTTTATTTCCTAAATTGAAGTGTGACTTAGTTCAGGTGAACCAAACCCCTAGCTAAAAATCTTAGGGAACTTTTACCAAAATATTATCACTTCAGTTCGACTGAATTCAAATTACCTACAAAATTGCACCAATTTTCTCAAAAAAATTGCACTCTAGGGCTGCAAATGTCAACAGCATACCATACCCAATACTGACGACTACCTCATGCAGTGGTTTTTAGAATCGGATCAATTAGCTGGACGGACTTCATTTTTTTTGGGTCATTCTTGTTCAAGTTATTCTAAAAATGCTTTCAAAATTCATTTTTAAATTTAGATATTCACTTGTCATCATTTTAATAAAGGTTAATGTTGCTTTTAAATTATATTTAGTTTCTCAGTTATTATTCTTCAATTTTTAACTTTTTTTCACCTGTCTGTTGTTTGTTTGGTGATTTAGCACATATTGTGGTGAGGCATTAAAAATTTGTGAAAGTATTAAAAAAAATCATTGCAAAGCTTCTATTATGAATAACTAATGTTACGATTTTTATGGGCGAAGTAACCTTTTTTTCATTTCGACTCCCTCGCTTCCTCTCCTCCCTCTATTCAACTGCCCGCTATTATGAATAGCTAATGTTACGATTTTTATGGGTGAAGTAACTTTTTTTCCATTTCGACTCCCTCACCTCCTCTCCTCCCTCTATTTGACTGCCCAACTCCTTGCCTTATCTTCGATTTTTCATTTCTCCTCCCTCCAGGTAACGAAACCCAGACGTTACAATCTTCTCTACTTATAAAAATTCCGCTTTCGAAATTTAAAAATAGACTCCAATTCATTTTTTTATTAATGAGATTAACATTAGCTATCCATAAATTTCATGATGAAAACTAAAAGTCATTCATTAAGATGAAAATTAATCATTATAAGGTAAAGACTCGATACAAGGTGACTCAACTATACTTCGGATATCAATACTAAAGCAAGAAAGTATGTTAAGAAAATATCCTTATATAAGAACCAAACTTATCAGACCTCATCACCATCAACAAGAGTAGGTTCTTTAGATTCAGTATGAGCAATGAAATATACTCAAGGTTGAACATGTTGTCTTGGTTGACCTTGAGAAGGAGCTGAAGGTACTCTTCTTCTGTCCACATGCAATCGTTTGTGAAGGAGCTCCACCTGAGTTCTGATATTCATCACTCTTTTGGCCAAGAAATGGACAATATCTTGTCATATGACCAAACTGATGAAACATTAGAGCCCATCAAACATTCACCCTTTTGTTGTCTTTCGCATTTGACATTGGGTTGTATTTTTGCTAACTCTACTAGAATTGTTCTTGGACTTATTATTGGATCATTCTCAAGGATCTACATGTTCACCTTCATTATTACTTTTCGTTTTGTGTATCTCCTTACATTTTTGAGTAAGCTGATAGTCAATCTCTACTATTCTATCTCGCTCCACTAATATTGAGTATTCATCGTTCAATAAAGGTACCAACAACTGTCTGATCGAATTCTATAATCTTGAAAGAAATCTATAACACTTTTCTTCTGCAGTAATCAATTGTGGCGCATACATTAACTATGCAATGAGTTTTGCTTCGTATTGCATGACTGTCTTTTCTTCTTGTCTCAATTTGAAGAACATGCCCCACATATGTCTTCGAGCAGATAAGTGTGCAGACCATTCTTTGAATAGCTCTACAAATTCTTCCTAACCGAACATCATATTGGGTATGTCCCTAACTTGGTCTGATGAATGCCCACACCATCACTTTTTGGCTTCTCCATTTAGCATGCATGTAGCTAATGACACTTTTCTTTCATCCGGGCACGCCATGATATCTAGTATCCTTTCTATCCTCATTAGTCAGTTCTTTGTTTCAATATGGTTTTCAATTACCTTTAACAAAGGTGAACGCAAATCTAACTTCAGGTACTTATCCACAACGACTGTATCATTTTTGATAGATTGCAATCTGAACTCCTGAATCAACTGAGTCATCGCCTCTATCGTTAGGGTCAAGGCATTCATATTCACATTTATAGTGGGTTGTACTTCGTTTTCTATCAAATTCACTTTTTTTTGTTATAATTCTGGGTCTATCACTATGCTTGAATGCATATAATTATTAATTTGAGTTAACAGAAAATTTTAATTTTGTTTTTTATTAAATTTTTTTTATAATTATTGTATTGGCTCTTTCATTAATAATTAATTAATTAATTCTAAAGTTTGTACTTTGATACCACTTTTGTCACGACTGACCCTGAGATTGTAGTTATTGAAGATGAGAACAGACGGTCTAACTGTGAGAATTTAGTTTTTTATATTCATTTACCATTTGACAAATGAAATAAAATGAAATTACCACTAATCAAACTAAATTAAAACAATATATTTAAAATTTTCTTGTTATCGGTTGTCTGCGCCTTCTATAAACATTTTCTCTTTTATCGCTTATCTTTTAATTACTTAATTAGACCTGAAATGTTAATTTAAAATAACAACAAGCCTAAACAAAGCTAAGGAATACTCGTACTCCTAGACTACAGTAGTATAAAGGAACATAGTTTTTAATAAATCATTATAAATATTTTATGTTATTTAATGAATTTTATTATATCAATAACATATTTATATCATTTATATTTGTCATAGAAATATCGTTTAAAAATTATATCGCTTGAGGTACTTTAATATCAATATCGTTTTCTATTTAAATGCATGAGTACCTTAACACGCCTCTCTAGTATCATAAAAATGGCGACTCCATCATGATTAGTCATGCACATACAAACATTCTATGAAAATGACTATTTACTAAAAAAATATATTATGTTCTCATTTGCGTAACAACAATATACTTATAAATCATTTAATCTTTATAACAATTTAAATTATTTTATGCACGCATCATTTTTGCAATATGAATAAAAATTCGTTAAAATTCAAAATCCTGAGTTTGCAGTATATTCAATATAACTAATGATAGTACTAGTAAATGCATTTGGTCTAAAAGAAGCAAAATATTACTATAGCATAAAAATATGAGTACTCACCTCGATGTTGATTAATTTACCTTAACGTCAACTCTTCTAAAATTAGAAGTCTAACATGGTATAAAATGGTATAAGATTTAATTAATTTATTATTTTAAATTGAAGTTTAAAGGCCTTCATTTGAGTAGAACTAAAACTGAATATATGGAATGTAATTTTAGTACAATTAGCTCTAGTGGCATAAGTGTTCTTTGGGTGGTTAAATTATTAAAAGGTGTGAATGATTTAGATATCTTGGGTCTGTTGTTCAAAGCTATGTTGATATAGATGTGGATGTTAATAGTATAATTCAAGTGGGTTGGTTGAAGTGGAGGAATGATTCGAGCCTTTGTGTGATAGAAAAGTACCGCTCAGACTGAAAGGAAAATTTTATAAGACAATGGTGAGACATACAATGCTCTATGGCGTTGAATGTTGGCCTTTAAAAAAAAAACATAATACTAAGTTAAGTGTTGTCGAGATGAGAATGATTTGGTGGATGAGTGGCTTTACACTTAGAGACAAAATGCGAAATGAATATATCCGTGATAAGGTTGGTGTAGCTCCTGTGACGGACAAAATAAGAGAGTCATCTTAGATGGTTTGGTCACATTAATCATCAACTATCTAATGATCCAATTAGAAGACTAGAGGTTTTAGATTCGACTTATGTTAAGAAAGACAGAGTTAGACCTAGAAAGACTTTGGCTTATTGTATAAAAAATGATCTTAATTTATTAGAACTAAATGAAAATGACACTAAATAGGACGCAATGGAGAAAAATGATTCATGTAGCCAACCCCACTTAGTGGGATTAAGGCTTTGTTGTGTTGTTGTATTTTTTTAATAAACCATTAATTTTTATTTTTTTAGTATTAAATAAATCTTTATTAAATATTTCACCATTAAATCTCTCAGGCGAGCCCTAACCCATACGAAACTATCTTGCATGCAATCCGGATCGAACGCATGAGCTCTAGGCTTCAGCTCTATATTGCACGAAGACACGAACTTAGCTCGCCGCCTCTTCCTACTCGGCTCTCTGATCCCGCCTCCCACCTCACCTCTTTCTTCTTTCGATTGGTCAGGGCACGGGCTCTCCTCCTGTACTGAAGTTTTGAGCCGCTCCTTCCTTCTTTGTTTGTGTCGATTGACTCTCCCGATAAGTCATTATAGTTGGCTTCTTTCTCTCGTTAGTTGGCTTCTATCTCTCGTTAGGCTGCGACGATTTTTATAGGCGAAATCAGTTCTTTGAATTCTGACTCCATTGCTTCCTTTCCTCTCTCTGTTTGGCTGCCTGACTTCTCACCTCATCTTCTTCAATTCTTTCTTTCTCTTCCCTCTCTATAAAACAGAACCCGGACATTACAGGCTTAA